AAGCCTTCAAAGACCGGTAAGGAGCGCGGGTGGGCGGGTGGGCCCTTTGCCGTTCCCGGAAGTTACTTACTTCCGGGTTCGCCGACCAACCGGTTGAAACCCACCCCTGAACAGAACATTTATGAAATCTTGTCAAAAAAGCTGAAGGACTTGCCCAGGCAGTTGAGTCAACACTTGATTTGAATGTGTGAATGTACACACTTCTAATTATATCCTGTGATATTTGTAAAATGACATTCTGATTTCCTTAAGAATCACTTTTCAAAACACTAATTCGTATAGTTTTCAACTTGAAAATACTGTTACAGTTTTTCTGTGCAGAGCTTAGATTTTTTTTTCTAAAAATTATTCAATGTAAATCTTTACTTGGATAGATATGGATTAATGTAAAGTAACATTATTAGATACTAACCACCAGCAGTAGGTCGGTTGTAACTTAGCACACATTCAGAGCTGAAATATCATCTCTGAAGTAAATGATATAAACGTACACTTGTACACCATTGTCAATTAAGTTCAAAAGTATGGTAGCACAATGGTTAGAATGCAGTACTGCAGTTTAATTTACTGCTCACTCCTGGAGTTGGACTCTGAATGCCTCAAAGTTGAGTCAGCCTTCCATCCTTCCGAGGTCGGTAAAATGAGGATACAGATTGTTGGGGGCAATATGTTGACTCTGTAAACCGCTTAGAAAGGGGCTGTAAAGCACTGAGAAGCGGTATATAAGTTTAAGTGCTGTTACTATTGCTACATTTCATAAAATATGAGTTCTACTTCCAGTTAAAAACAAAAAAGAATTTTAAACAAATTACCAGTTAAATTGGATATCTGGAACTTTCAACTTTCAAATTATGGGTTAACAGTGGAACAATAAAACAGGAGTATCAAATTGGGCATAACTAGTGTTATTTTTATTTCCTTATTAATTTCCGCATATAGTAGTATTTTGGAATGATTCTGCAATATTCTGTTTACCGTTAGCTGCACATGAATGTACTTAAATTCATGCAACAAATTAGCCATGAAATAATAAGCAATTAATTTTTACACTCTAGGTCAGTGGTTCTCAACCTTCCCAATGCCGCGACCCTTTAATAACAGTTCTTCATATTGTGGTGACCACCAACCATAAAAATTGGTGTTTCAATTCCTAAAACCATCGAAAATGTGTGTTTTCCGATGGTCTTAGGCGACCACTGTGAAAGGGTCGTTCGACCCCCAAAGGGTCCCGACCCCCAGGTTGAGAACCACCGCTCTAGGTTATAACTGAAAGAATGAAATGTGATTATGAATCTCTGAATAACATCATTGAGGCATCAAATGGAATTCAGGACTGAAGCATTTAGGAACATGTTTATGTTCATAAAAAGTGAAAATATAAAATCAGAACAATACTCTTACTTGGAGTGATTCATAAACAGGAAGCAAAACTGCTCACACCTATTCTTTTTGAATGTCCAGTTGAATCCTTTGGGTGAAAACGTGGTGGAATTTGGTCACTAGATTATGCAAGAAAAACTCGAAAGTATGCAGTCTTAACTATTTAACATTTATTCATTTATAAATATGAAATGACATTTAGGTAATTTATATCCCATATAGAATTAACTGGGAATTTAATTAAGTAGAAAAAGTTCAGTTGTCAATATTTATGACTCCTTTTATTTTGGGGGTATGTTGATTGATTTTGTTGAAATGGAGAATAAAAATTTACTGTGTTAAAAATATGAGGCATGCTTCCTAAAGCAAGGGAAGGGTCTCCTCTTCTTTTTTTATATATTTCATTAATATATATTTCACCATTTTCCATTACCACTGCAAGACAATATAGACTGATTCCTCTTTAGCTACATCAAGGATGCAGCCTCATGGATGGATACCTTATTTTCAAATTTAGCAACGTTAAGATGCATAGACTTTGACTCCTGGAATTCTCCAAGCATCATGATCTCTCTGGCACGAAAAAAATGGGGTTAGAGCATCCATCTTAGCCTGTCAGCAGCTTTTCAGTTGCATTGATTGTGGTATTATTCTGGACCAGTTTAGGGGTTAGGGAAGCGGGATATGATGCTACAATGGCTCTTCTAGCAATAGCAATAGCAATAGCAGTTAGACTTATATACGCTTCATAGGGCTTTCAGCCCTCTCTAAGCAGTTTACAGAGTCAGCATATCGCCCCCACAGTCTGGGTCCTCATTTCACCCNATCCATGAAATTAGATACATGATTTATCTTAATGTCTATGCAAGATAAATCACTGGCCTAGTATCAGGCTGGAAAATGCTGATGTAGAAGGATAATTCTAGTTAATAATGACATCACATGGAGTGCAAAGAAAGCTGGATGGATAAAGTTACATGAGATAAAATATGACTAAAATAAAGCAATTTTGAGCATGACATAGAATGTCAGAATTTGAAATGGCATTGGCATTTGGACAAAAGATTAGTATTGTTCAAGAAAAAATTCATTTTAGCTCTGGAATTCATTTTATAGGAATTACAAACTATGTGAAAGTTGGAAATAGTATATTACATAAATCCAAACCCATAAATTCCAATCCAATCAAGGTCCCAATAATCGCATGTAAATTGCAATGATAGCCGATCATCATAGTTGTGTCCGATACGTCAGTTTGCGTTGCCTTATCAGTATGGCAACATTATGTAAGGCTAATCATAATGTAAGCCAATTAACCTCAATGGAAGATACTGCCAAGTAGGGGATTGCAGCCAAAGATTACCATCTGATCAGCGTGTAAAAGTGAGCTCCTTACATGAAAGTGTACACTAAAGTGTACACTAAAAGTGTACACTAAAAGTGTATAGCAGCTCAGCTGGCCAGAGCAGTTGTAATTAAAGTCAGGCAATAAAAATAAATCCATATCCAGAGAGCTTGTAGGTTGTTCTCCATCAAAAGTCCATACTTTATTGGTGTTTACTTTGAAAGAAATCGTCCATGTGCTGGTACTGGTTTTTCCTTTTTAGAGGTAAGGATCTGTCTGACATTACGAATCTTGAAACCAGATATTAACCTTCTTTTTATTGTAATTTTGAAATCGCTTCTATAGTAGGATGACTTAATGAACGATGCTGGGCATGCATGCTGAGAAAAACATGTTTCTGGCCCCCGACCTCAATTTTTGGATTCTCCTTTGCATTTTTGCTCTTTCATTGAGATAAATATTCAATGGGTAGTTTTGTAAATGTAATTAACGTGCTAAAAAACATTGGTAGATATAATTCCACCTCCGCAGAATATGGGTATATCTTTTGGTTCACCGACAAAAGGGCGAACAACAAAACCGTGCCCGACTAAACCGCGGTGACAAAACCGCGTGTTCTAAAGTGCTCTGACGAATGAGCGCTGAATCGCGGTAACAGTGCGGCAACAGAAGCGCGCTGTAAACCTAAACCTAACCCTAAACGTAACCCTAACCCTAACCCTAAACGTAACACAAACCCTGCTGTTGTTGCCGCACTGTTGTCGGCACGTTGATGATGTCACGGTTTTAGCAACGCGGTTTAGTTGGGCGTGGTTTTGTCGTTCGCCCTTTTGTCAGGTCACGATATCTTTTGGGCCATCTGTGTTTAGATGCTTATATGACGATAACGGAACCCCTCACATTCAGACAAAACATTATATATTGTGAATGTGCATTCTTTTACTGTGAATATAATGAAGCAATTTTAGATATTGTAGCAGTCAGATACATAAGCTCAGTGTTTTCTTTCTTTTTTAAATAGCATGTAAAACTCCTACGATTAAATCATTGAATTTTGCAATAATTTTCCATCAAAATAAAGTAGGCTTAATAGCAATAGCAATAGCTCAGATAATTGTCTACTGGAATCGTTAAATAGACTGTGAATATGCTTTGTTTTTAAGAGACACTTTATGAAATCACATGACTACTACAATAATTGCTAGGGGGAAATGACAATTCATCTACTGAATACATCAACATTGACAGCCAGTAATAATGCTGTAAATTATTTCCACTTTGATTCTTTACCATTAGTGCCTTATCAATTGGAAATATAATAAGAATGTAATTGTTTAGCTGAAGGAAGGGCAGTGTGGTCTAGTAATTTAAATTTAAATTAATCAATTTGGTATTCTGGTAGGGAAGTCATATTCAAATAAAATCACCATTTGCACTCAATAATCCTATTTAGTTTCTTAGAATTTAGAATGGTCAGATTTATTTTAAGGGATGGCATCATAAAATTGTAGTTACTGCACTAAGGTAGTAAACATGTTTATAATTTTCAAGAGGGACCATGCCTGCCAGTTTCTACAAGTTTATTTTAACCCAGTAGCTACCTTGGAAGGTTAAAAAAAGAAACTACAAACACCATCCTTTTTATGCATCTGATATCACAACATATAAAGGGAGAAGACTTTGCATTGTACTGCTACAACACAGCTTTCACCATCTTGCAAGACAGTATCAGATAAATCTCAGTCATTCTCTAAAAGCTTGTCTCTGCATTATCAGCCAAAATCTGCTGACAGAGTATTAGGACTTAATAGGATGAAAGACAATAGTACAGAATGTGTGTCTATCAGTTTGCTTGTTCCTTTCTTAAGTTCTGAACAGGCCTATCCTGCCTCATGCAATAAATCTTATAGTAGTTTGAAGTTCAGATAAGGGCAAATACATGCAGCTTCTTTCTTGTTTACAACATGTTTCCTATTTGGTCTTCAAAGTTAAAAAAATTCGATTTGCTTTCAATATTGATTTTCACTATAGTGATTTCTTGATAAGCATTCTGTTGACTTGCACAATTCTAAAATATTTTTTCTGATCTACAATTGTAATAAAAGACTTCGTATGATAAAATATAATTTACCTGTGTTCTATTTTTAAAGTAAATGTATTCAAAATAAAATCCACAATTGCTTTTGGTAAACAAAAAAAATGATTCACTTCTTGCTATTTTTTGTTTATCTCTTGTGTTTCCTGATTTGAATGCTTATCTTGAAAAAGATTGGGTGGGGGGGAGAGAGAAGGGTGAGAAAAAACAAATAGTTAGGGTTAAAGGAACTGATCATTTAAAAAGAAAAGTATCCTGAATTATAGGATGCATATAGCCTGCTTTCTTTTAGCAATAGCAGTTAGATTTATATACCGCTTCATAGGGCTTTCAGCCCTCTCTAAGCGGTTTTGCAGGGTCAGCATATCACCCCCAACAATCTGGGTACTCATTTTACCCACCTCAAGGATGGAAGGCTGAGTCAACCTTGAGTCGGTGAGATTTGAACCGCTGAACTGCAACTAGCAATCAGCTGAAGTAGCCTGCAGTACTGCACTCTACCCACTGCGCCATCTCGGCTCTTTCTCTAGATATTTCAGTTTCAACATTCCTAAATGCTGATAACTTTTTCCCTCTGCTTTTTATAGGTTTTTCTGATGAAACTATAACCGTAGCTGATGTTCCTCATTGTGAACCAGTTGAAGAAACTCCACTGCTCCCTCCATCCCACTCATTTTCCACAGTTTTTGATGAAGACAAGCCAATTGCTAGCAGCGGGACTTACAACCTAGACTTCGATAGCATTGAAGTTGTAGATTCCTCACAAGGTGTGGATCCAAGCTCCCTGGACACACCAAGTTGGGATTCCAAGTCCCACGTTAGAAGAAAATCCACAGATTCTGTTCCAGTTTCCAGATCTACATTATCCCGTTCCCTTAGTTTGCAAGCTGGAGAATTTGATGGAGTCTCTTTTCCTGGGACTAACGAGACAGCAGGTTCTGCAACAGATACTTTTGGTGCTGGTTCAAGCAGTGCTTCTAGTACTCTTAAGCGCACAAAAAAGCCTAGGCCAGCTTCCTTGAAGAAAAAACAATTAGCAAAAAAACCCTTGGATGTTTCTCCAGTAAAAGAACCAGGAATATCAGACCTCAAGCAAGATTCTGCTGCCTCAAGTGACGAAAAAGTTTCTGAAGAAACTTTGGAGCCCACTGAACCTGAGTGCGCCAACCGACAGCACCAAAGTACTGTCAACAAAGACGAGGAGACTCCTGTACTGGAGACATTGAGTCCATTTGATCCAAACAACTCAGAAGAAATTCCTGTATCAGGAGATAGCCAAGGAGAGAACTCTCCACCTGCCAACAAGGAAACTGTATCTCTTACCACAACACCAGAAGCTGTGGAGGTGACACCATCAGACACCGGGGGACAAGAAGATCCTCCAGTGAAAAGCTTAGCGGTCAGGTTGGAATTTGATTACTCTGAGGAAAAAGGCAGTGGTGAGGAACAGACAGAGAGTCCTCTTCTGCCCCAAAAAGTGGGCAGAAAGTCTGGGGCCAAAATGCCCCTGAGAAGGCCAAAGACTAAAAAGACTGGAGAGAAACTTGACAATACTCCCACAAGCCCAACCAAGACTCCTTCTGAACCCAGTGAGATTCCTGTTTCCAAGGGCTCGTATACTTTTGATATTGACAAATGGGACGACCCCAACTTCAACCCTTTCTCTTCAACTTGTAAAATGCAAGACTCTCCAAAACTTCCTCAGCAAACCACCACAACGTACAGCTTTGATCAAGAAATCTCCGAAGACTCTCTCGATCCATTCAAGTCGTCCCCAAAAGTTTCCAGTTCTCCCACACAACCTCCAGCATCCTTTGAGATCTCAGCCAACGTCAATGAAATTAACGGATCAGAAGGAGATGGCCTAAATAAACCTGCAAAAAAGAAGAAGACGCCACTCAAGACGTAAGTCAGCATGTAGACAAGCTGTGTGTTCCATACTCTAAACATGTTTGTTGACAAGCTCCCTTAAATTTCTGTGTTGGCACTATGTTTGTTGTATAGGTTTGCTGTAGTACATCCTACCTAACTGAATTGTAATGCCAGAATAATCATATTACCGCAGCTGGAATTAAATTATTTTCCTTTTGGCTGTGAGGTGTACTAGGACTTCAAACCTTTTTTTAATCCTCAACATTTAGAAAGTAAGCTTTAATTTTGCTGAATGTATGATTCAGCAAAAACCATTCATTTTTGCTTCAGAGTTTAAGAATCTGGCTGATCCCTAGGACGTGAGATTTAAAACATTTGGCAAAAGTTTTTTCTGTTTCAGAGATTGAGAAGCAATCTGACCCTCATGTTAAAAGAAATGTATTTTGGAAAAATGTAGGGGTTCTTAACAGCATTCAATCATGACACGGAAAAGTCTTCAAGGTTGTTTTTTTAAATAGAAAATGTAAATATATTTTATAATACAAGTGATCATTTTAATTCAGTCAAAGAATAACAAACATCTCGTCGGGATTAAGAGACTACTCTGCAGAGTGTTTACCATGAGGTTATAGTTTATACAGAGTTCAAAATGACAGAAGCTATCCAGATGCTTAAAAGATAGACTTCAGTGTATTTTAGTCCATTATACTGGCTGGTTTGTGAACAAGCCACAAATGCTACTTGAGTTTAGTTTCTTTGTTTGTGTGAGGGAGAGAGTTGGGCAAATAAATAAATTTGTTTAAAAACATATATAAAATAAATATTTTTACACACACACACACACACACATAGATAGATAGATAGATAGATAGATAGATAGATAGATAGATAGATAGAATATTAAATATTTATTTAATATTTATAAATAAATATTTATAAATTTATAAATATATATATATATATATTTAAAGTCACAACCCCTAGTATGCCCAAATATGGGAGGAAGTTCACTGCTTCCATTCTCTGTNACCCCTGCACTACACCAAAGTGGCTCTTAATGACATCATACTAGAACATAAATCAGTCAGGCCATTTAGTTGTTGCTTGTTCTGACAAGTTTTCTGACCACTTTGATTCAATGGCTTCTCTGAGGGCTTATCATACCTTCTTTGTCTGAAACTGTATGGCTTGATTACTGATGCTTTGCTGCCAAATTTCAGGAGCACGGTCCCAGAAAGTTCAGGGCTGCAAAATAGCTTTGTGAATTGTATGTAGACTATAGGTTGTCCACACTGCTTTAAATACAGCCACTGTAATATCTGAATCATGAAATTAATCGCTTTCTCAAGCTTTCTAGAAAGCTGCAGTAATTGTCAATTAACCTGACCATTGGTAGATGCCTGAACTGTAAGATGTCCCTTTCCTTCACTGGAGGAATTTTATGACTATATGTTGGTCTTAAAAAGCATTTGCACTGTGAAGTAAGTTTCTTGACCATCAGTGAAGTAGCAGCTTTCAGCAAAAAACACAGATTGAAGACAGCTTGCACAGATGATAAACTGGGGTGCTATGTAGATAGGGAGTGGCTCCAAAGATGACATTTAAATATTCAGCATTAACTCAAGACATCTGTCACCATACACAGCAGTGAGTGGGCTTTGCTGATGCTTGGAGCAGAAACAATATGTTCTAGTCCTCATAATCACTTGGGGTGGGGTGGGGATTCTACTTTTGCAGAGAATTCTTTTAGTGACTAGTATAAATCCGTATATTTTATTATAGCAATCCCAACACAAATCCTTTAATAAATGGAGTTATTAATGTGCAGATGTTAAATAATAACAAAAAAGCAATAAAAATGAATCCCTTAGTAATCTTGCTGATCCCAAATGGTAAGAGCAAGAAATCAGAATAAATGTGTACTGATTTTTATTATTATTTTACTTATGCTTTATTTTTCCTCAAATTTGGCTGAGTTTGCAATTTCAAAAATCAACTTTATTTCAGTGTCTGTCTTCATATGAATACTGTATGTACATCCAAGTAAATGTACAATATATATGAGTGTGTGAGCGATATACAATGTTGACAGGAAATGACAGCAATAAAACAGCACTGTAAATATATCAGGAAACAAATCAGCTCCCAAAGCATTAAATAAAGTATACTTATTTGAATAAAAATGAAAAGATTTAGATTTAGATAAGAATAACTCCAGATGGTAACTATAGATTTAGATGAGATACGTTTGAAAGATTAAAAAGTTTTTGAATTAATCTAATTCTCCAAATATTTCAGGTTTGTTTTTATTATACTCATCCAGGTTCTCATGCACCAGAATGGTTTTTTTTTTGTCTTTTGGTCTTGTGTTGGGATTTTATCTCAATCTGGAATGAAATCCTTTCAGTTGAAGGGTGGGCAATTTTGAACAGGTAAAGATCGAATATTTTTAAACAGTTTTTGATGCAATAGAGTAATCCACAAGGACTACAGGGATTTGATACTGAACAGGGCATCTAGTAGTTATTTTGTTTTGGAGGAGAGAACTGCCATATGTGATTATTTACTATATTAAGGCTTAAAGGGAAGTTTATCTACTTTTTATTTAGTTGTTTTACATTAAAACTATGGAGAAGTGTGTCTCTGTTTTGGGGCACTTTGCTGTGGAAATCCAGCAGAGCATTTCAGCAAGCAATGACAGCCACAAAACTGGAGATCAAGAGTAGGTCTACTGGATCCAGAACATAAAAATCTGGATGACTTTTAAGTGGTAGCAAAAAGTGGCAGAAACATGTGCCACTCAGATCTAGTAGTCTTAATCAAGGAACATATGCAATTTTCAATATACTGTTTGCCCATATGTTATATTGTATATGAATGCATTCATGTTTAGTACTTTATTAATGGAGTTCAATAAAACCTACTCCAAGGCACAATAAGTGAGTATAAGATTTCAGTCTTAGGCATATCTCTCACTATCCGCATTTAGTATCCACGAATATTCCATAAATCAACAGCTGAAGTCACAGGGAATCAACAACCAAAGTCTTTACTCCTTTATTTAGAACTTGCTCTCCATCATTGAGGAATCACACTTTCTACACCCTAGAAAGTCTAAATTAATACAAATCGGTACTGTAACGACAAATCACAAGATGTAAGATCTCATAACTATCTGAAGTAAAAAAAACTTTCACTATCTTCCTAAAAACAAGCAATAAATGTGCTATAGGAACTCTCAAAGTGGAATTTTAGGAGAAAAGCATCTCAGGAACTCTGGAGGGGGTACAAGAAAGGTATTTGTCGAAACTGTCAGTTCTTGGGCACTTTATATAAGGAATCCAAATATCTTTGATGATCCCATCAGCTTAACTAGATGTTTGCTTCTGTGACTTTGCTTTCCATTTTGTCCCTTGACTATCAACAGGAGGAATAATAATAATAATAAATAACTATTTGCACCCCAGCTCCTTCCACAACCTCCACAGGATTTTATAGAAATTTATAATCCTGTGAGAATCCTTTATACCAGTGATGGCGAACCTTTTGGTCGTCGTGTGCAATGGGTTTGCGCTCCCAACCCCCCTACATGCACACATGACACCCCCCCCCGCATGCTCTGGTTTTGCAGAGACCCAAAAACCAGCTGGCCAGTGGGAGGCTTGCGCACGCACGCATGTGCAGTGGAGCTGAGCTGAGCAATGGCTCACATGCCCCAAGAGAGGCTCTGCATGCCACCTGTGGTACATGTGCAATAGGTTCATCGTCATGGCTTTACACTGTTCTCAAGAGATTGGAATATTTGAACTACTGTATCTTAGGTGGTTTGTGCTTGACTTCTATGTGCATTAAAAATAGCTTGACAACTCTAGTGGCTTCAGATGCATCTATTTGTCCTCTCCTCTTCCATGAGACAAGTGGCATATAAATTTGATAGATAATAAATAAATAAATAAACTCATTTGCAAAACTCCCTGTTAGACCTCTGGGTTTCTTCTTTTGTCCTCTTTCCTTCAATTTTTATGCAGTTCCTTGTGAATTCTTGCACATCTCCTCTTTATTTAAATAAAAATCAGGTGGCTATGCCTCATATGTTATGTTATATATGTGTTTATTTTATTGTACTTTAATCCCAACCCGTCACCAAACTGGTGTATCTCCCACTTTATCCTCATATCACCTTGAAGTGTCAAAGTAAAAGTGGAAACCTTAAATATCAAACAGAGACTGGTTTCACACAAATACCTTAAGACTAGCTAAAATAGGATTTTGTTTTGGGGGCTCATTATTTTGAGAATCCAACCATTGGCTTTACAGCTTGTGTAAATAAAGTCATCCTGTCAAACCAAAATGTTTGGTTTGAGCAATGTGTATTATGTAAATACATCAAGTCTGTTTTATTAACCTGTATTGTTGGTTTATTTATTACATTTACATACTATTTGTGTGACTCTAGAGTCTAGACAGTATTAAGATTTAATAAGTGGCTTATTGACTAAACAACTATTTGAACAGAAATGACAGCTAAAAGCCAAGTTGTCTGCCTTGACACACCCTCAATAATCCCTCCCTGTCACATTTTTTGCACCAGTAGTAGCACAATAAAATAGGGTATTTATTGGGCTTGTTAGTGAGCTTTGGTCCAAAATTCAGAACATCTATTTTAAAGAAGAATCTACATAAACAGAAATATGATGGTTACACTGAAATATATAATTAGGTTGTAAGAAGGTTCAGAATGAAATCAGATACACTTTTATCTTCTTTTCTCCTAATTGCCCATTTTTCCCATTGAAGTGAAATGGAGACACACCCACACAACTCTCCCAATAACATATACAGGTAGTTCATTCAGTGATTGTTCAAAGTGATAACAGCACTGAAAAGGTGACTTTTGAACATTTTTCACACATAATGACTGTGGCAACCTCCCCATGGTCATGTGATTTACATTCGGAGCTTGACAACTGGTTCATATTTATGACAGTTGCAGCATCCTGGGGTCATTTGATCATCTTTTGTGGCCTTCTGACAAGCAAAGTAAATGGAGAAGCCAGATTCACTTAACAACCATGTTACTAATTTAACAACTGCAGTGACTCACATAACAAATGTGGCAAGAAAAGTTATAAAATGGGGCATAACTCACTTAAGAAATTTCTCACTTAGCAACATAAATTCTCAGCNATACATACATACATACATACATACATACATACATACATACATAAGCTGTTGGATTAATACTGGTTATATACAGATGCTGGTCTACTCCCTGTCATGGAAATTTATTGGTTTTTTAGTATAGTTTGTTACACTCTGCTTAACCAACCATAGACATTGGGAGAATAAAATGATGGGAAAACTCCTACTTAAGCTGTCTTCAGCTTCTAGAGAAAAGGTGGTATATAACTCAATAAAAACAATAATAAAATAAGTATATGCAGAGAAACGTTAATAAGAACTATCAGTAAGAACAACATGATACAGCAGTTCCCATGAGTGAAATGATGCAAGCTAGCAGAACTACCCTCAAGTCCTATTCAGTTCAAGTTCAGTTCAGTACCATATATATTTTCCTGAAACTATTCTTAGAAATGGACTTTTCAAACTATATACTATGTATGTGTGAATGTGTGTGTGTGTGCGTGTGTTTAAAAAAATGCATTGTTTATTAATAACCTTTATTCAGAGTGACTCTGGTAGCATATGGTTAAAAACAACCCAAAACAAAATATTATTATTCCACCAATAGGTCATGTTGGTGCCCCAATGCCTTGCAATATCATAAAGCTGATTGATGTAGAAGAAATGAATTATTTTTCTGCCAAAGGAGAGGGTGAGGTAAGTTGTGCTATCTGAACTCCAAGGCTTGGCTTTTCCAACACTTAACCTCCCATTCTGGCTTGAGTTGGCAGAATATGTCAAACACAGTTCAGCTAGATTAGAAACTTTTGCAGGCAAAAAATTAAGCCTTAACATAATAGTTGATTGCCTGCTGCAGAGCAGCAGATGTAGACCCTTCATACAGTGTTAGTGGATGTGTGTGAGGGAGACAGAGAGAGAGAGAGAGATCTAGAGATTAAAAACTCAGTTTTCTTTTTCCTGCATTTCTGAGGTTATAGACACTTAGCAGATCAGGTATCAACCTTGGCTAATTGCGATGTGTTTCTATCATGGTCCTTTCTAGCCTATGAACTGCTGATCCCTGCTTCACCAATTTTAGTTTTTACATGTAGAACTTAAAACATACCCAAATGTCAGAAAATCTCTTTCTGTTTCACATTGCATGTTTTAAATTTTAAATAAATACATTCTCTATTCTACAAGAATTAGTTCAATTTTTTTTTAAAGGTATCGTGATTTTGATCAGTATTATTTACCAAAACATTAGCAACTTGATTAAAAATAATAGCAAGTGAGCTTAGGAAGAATCAGCTGGTATAGTGAATGAACATTATTTCCATTCCTACATAAAACAGTGGGATAATCAGTTTTATGGTGTATTTTTAAGCACAGTCCATTTCTATTCCAGATTTGTGTAAAAGGAGCAAATGTGTTTAAAGGCTATCTGAAAAATCCTGAAAAAACAGCAGAAGTTATTGACAAAGATGGCTGGGTACATACTGGAGATATTGGGAAGTGGTTATCGGTAAGCCAGTTTGTAATCAAATGTATTTTGTGAATAGACAGAAGAGATTTCTTTAATCAATGGGTTACTTCACTATTTTAGTGCTAGAACTTTTCTGTTGCAAGCTTGCATATTTCTGTGACATTCAATATCTTGATCATCTATAGTACAAGTGTCTTATAAAACATGGTACCATCAACTTGGTTGTCAGCTTTTTCCATAGTATAAACACTGAGATGATTTTCAGTTTAGATATCAGATTCCTAGCAATTTTAAATATTATTGCCAATCCTTTCTTAGTACTATGTGCTTCATTGGAACAGATAAAAATTCAGCACGCAACTGTCTAACCCAGTGTTTCTCAACCTTGGCAACTTGAAGATGTCCGGACTTCAACTCCCAGAATTCCCCAGCCAGCANCGGTGGTTCTAATCCCTAGCACCATGTAGTGGAGTGAGCTCCCTTTGCTTGACCCAGCTTCTGCCAACCTAGCAGTTCAAAAGGATGTAAAAATGCAAGTAGAAAAATAGGAGCCACTTTTGGTGGGAAGGTAACAGCTTTCTGTGCTCCTTCACCGTTTAGTCATGCTGGCCACATGACCACAGAGACATCTTCGGACAGTGCTGGCTCTTTGGCTTTGAAACGGAAATGAGCACCACCCCCTAGATTCGGGAATGACTAGTAAATATATGCAAGGAGAACCTTTACCTTAAGCTTCTTGGTAAGCTCTCAGACCTATTTTCTTTTTTTTTCATATATATTTTTTCAATTTTGGAGGGACACCCCATTCTTGGTAATGTCACTGTTGTGCCATATTTCTACTTGGTGACATCTGTCTTCACTGGTGTGTACTCTTTACTATTTAACATCAGTTTGAATATGATTGGTGAACTCTGAACACAGCCACATCCCTACTCATTAGAGAGTGTGCACACTTATGCAACCATGTTATTGTAATTTTTTTATTATTTCCCCTACAAGACTTTACTTTGTTTTTAATTGAATTGTAGTTTCCATGTTATATTAAAGGTGAAAAAAAATTCTGAAGTAATTTATCTTGGTCTGATTTTTTACATCTCAAAAACTGGGCATTTTAACAGGGGTGTGTTATATCCACTGTATCTTAAGCAAAGAAGTGACTTTAAAAAGTCATCTACTAAAGAAGTAATGTGCCAGATGGATAGCTTATATTAAGGGATTGTTCAACTTTACCTCCTAGTAAATTTTCTGTAACTAGAAAAAAGCCAGTTGTAAGAGTGGAAGCTGGTGAACAGTCTAAATTTAAGTAATGCTATTAATAAGCAAATATAATTTTAGGAATATGTCAAAGTGGCTGAAGAACAAAAGCTTTGTCTGTGTGCTCCCTAACTATCAAACAGATTATGCTGATATGTATGTGGTGCAAAAGGGAATGCTGATAACTTGGGCTGCAGTGATAAAATAAACCAACTGCTCCAATTTCTGCTCATCTTTTTAAAAATAAGCCAATTAAATTTTAATTGCCTTGGTATATTTTGAATTCTTTCTTTCTCTCTTGTCCTTAGTGTGTGGTTCTTTGCCATGGGGCTCGGATTGGATTTTTCCAGGGAGACATCAGGCTACTCATGGATGACTTAAAAACTTTGCAGCCTACAGTGTTCCCTGTGGTGCCAAGATTGTTGAACAGAATGTTTGATAAAGTAAGTCTGTGTGAAACTGAACAATAGTAGGCACCCTTGCTTTCCATGACATTTCCGGAAATCACTTTTCATGCTTTGGGAGTCTAAAGGTAGAAAATAAAGCATATTTTGATTTGTAAAAGCAAAGCTCTTATTTGTATCTTATTTGCTGCTGTGAAACCGCAGCAGCAGTCACTCAATGTTGCAGCAGCGTTAAGATCTTTCCCAAATGTTATTTGCATTTGCATACAACCACGAAACTATGTCTACTACAGCCTACGGTAGATGGGGTGCAGAGTGGGCCTGATCAAAGGATTATAATGGCTCTATGATTAGCAGTGGAAAATAGCAAGCAGGAGTCCTCAAGCATTTGTTCAATTAACAGTTAGTGGCATAGGATGGTGAAAAATATATTCACTTGTTTCTATGGCATCTTGAAGAAAATTGCACTCTTTTGCAGATCTTTCAACAAGCAAACACTTCATTTAAGCGGTGGATATTGGAATTTGCTTCCAAGAGGAAAGAGGCAGAACTTAGAAGTGGCATTATTAGAAATAATAGCCTGTGGGATAAAATGATTTTCCGCAAAGTACAGGTAACCTGATTGCTGATTATTTTGTGAGTTGACTTACTTTCTGGAAGTTCTTGATTCCAATATTTTTTAAAACAATCTGTGGCTATGAAATTAGGGCAATTGTTTATTAAATCATTGATAAATCCAGATTAGCATGTTTTATAATGCTAGACAACCACCACTTAATGTTTCAGATGGAGATTTTATATTAGAGGGCAATGTATTGTCCTCCAGATGTGTTTGACTGGTAGATCCCATGAACTTTCACAATAGACCACTGTATGATTGCTTAGACTTCTTATTTAATCTTATCTGGTAGTAATAAAATTTGACTCTAGGATCCTTTACATATAGAGTGCATACTTATCTATTTCATTATATCCTTTTCCTATAACATAAGAATCCAGCTAACATAACATACAGTTAGTCCTTGACTTACAATCATTCATTTAGTGAACATTTAAAGTTACAACAGCACTTTAAAAAGTGACTTATGACTGGTTTTCACATTTACAACCTTTTCAGCATCCCCATGGTCACATGATCATAATTTGAGTGTGGCAACTGGCATGTATTTATGACAGGTGCAGTGCCCCAACATCATGTGATCACTTTTTATCACCTTCTGACAAGCAAAGTCAATGGGGAAGCCAGATTCATTCTTAACAGCTGTGTTACTAACAGAACAACTGCAATGATTCACTTAACAACTTTGGCAAGGAAGATTGTAAAATGGGGCAAAACTCACTTAACAACTATCTTCCTTAGTGGTGGAAATTTTGGGCTCAATTATGGTCACAAGTCAAGAACTACCTTAGTATAATTATTCAAAATTGTTTGAATTTAGATTGTGGTTTTAAGNGTTTGCTTGTCTCTGATGTTCTCTGATCTTTGCTACACATAGATCAAATTCATACTTTGGTGAATTATGTGGATTGCCTATCTTCTGGTTGATTTTATCCTATTTGCAACTCTGAAGCAAAATTGATTTTTCTAAAACAATTGATAATCAAAGAACAGCTTGAAGTTTCTTAACTAATCTTTTACAATTCAATATCCTCCTCATTTCAGGGTCTAGGTTCTAAAATTCCAAACTACATCCCAGTGTATCTGCAGAACTATCCACATTAAGATTTAGGTACTAAATGCTTCATGCCTTATATGACAAGATCTTTGGTCTTGAAGCAAAAGATGTTTTGCTAAAAAGTCAGTTCGTTGTCTCTAAAAGAAAAGCACATAAGTTGCACATACCTTGAATATGAGACATAAATATAAGTGTAATTGTAGTGTAATAAGTATATACCTTGGTTATTAGAATATTAATGCTGAGATTTGCTTCTCCAATTTAGAGGTATAACGCATTGACTTAATACAGCTCTGCAACATCCTTTTAATTTTAATAATTGTCTTAGTTTGGAATTTCAAAGCACGGATGATAAAATTGTAGAAAGGGCATAGAACATTACTCTGAGTGGCTTAATGGACCAAACTGGGCTTATTTCCCATTCTTCCTATGACTGTGGTGATCATGTCTATTGATTCTGTTTTGCTTGGCTTGGACATGGTAGCTTTTCGTTTTAAAAATTATTCTTCTGTAATTGGTTTCTTTTTCCCTTCTACTTCCTGGTGCTTCTGCTGACAGAAAGCAGTTTTTCCTTCTCCTGAAGACACCTTAATCTCCTTCTTACCCTTGGCTCATATGTTTGAAAGAATTGTTGAGGTAGGCATCTGTATTTTTAATGTCATTTTTAAGTAGTTTCGTCTTTTGCAGAGTGGATATATAACAAGCCCAAGTGACACACATATTTCCTTTTTGCCTCTTGCACATATGTTTGAAAGAATAGTCCAGGTAAGTAAAACTATGTATGCCGGGTTACTTGCAACAGGTAAAACTTTTCTTAGACTCACATGATTTTCTTAATGTTGGTTCCCCAAATAAAAATTGGCAATATACATTTCCCATTCAATACAAATCCATTTTCTGCCCTTGAAGTTGAAGGAGTGATTAAGAAATAATTGCTCTTTTTAGCCCAACCATTTTATAGGGCTGTAGATAAAAGTGCTGAAGGAAGTTTTATGCATGCTGCCTTTAGCTCCTGAAGGAAAGGTAGGATATAAGTGTAAAAAATAAGAACAACTCCCTGCCAGTATGATCATTGGTTAGGAATGATAGTTGTCCCAGCAATACATAGGAACCAAGAGCTAGAACTTTTTAAATCTGATAGTGAATAAGGAAAGATGGGATATCAGTGTGTGCTACCTTGAGATCCCAAATGAAGAAGAAATAAATATAAAGATGTCTAACATACGTATGTACGTAC